AAACTAAGTTATTGCCCTTGACCACAGCAGATGTATCTAGCCAATACTCCCAGTTTCCCTCAGCAATAGTTCTATTTTATGTTTGCATTTATCACTTTCTTCTCTCTAGTATTATACTGATTTTTTATTTTAAGTTTCTCCTTTCACTGGATGACTCAGTGATTATTACAGAGCTTTCCTTCACTTTGTTTTCATGAAAGAACAACAATTACAGCTTTATGCAGTATGAAGCTCCTTTCCAATACCTCACCTCCAGAAGGGGAAGTAAATGTAAGAACAGCTTTAAAATAAAAGTAACTGCGGAATTTAGGATCAGTTCCTGAATTATTCAATGAGGAAGCACTTGGAATTCTTTGATTTTAGCATTCATCGTTCCATACATCTGCAAGGATGCAAACTGTTCAATAAATGGACCTAACAAATTTTGCTACCAGATGTAGGTAGATATATTTTTTCCTTTGAGCTCAGCCAACCACTGTTTCTCAAACAGTAAATATATTTGTTCAGGTTTTATATTAGACATCTGAAAAATAACAGACCTGTTATTTTTAAACTGTCAGTACCCAAATATTGAACACAACCAGACACCACCCAGAGACAGGATTCCCATCTTTTCATCTTTTTTTTCCCCCTATGAGAGTCACAATTGAAGTTAACACTCTTACACAAGTTTTAATTCATATTTTTATTTGAAAAAAGTAATATGTATGTTCATGTTTCAGTTTTGTGAAAAATGGAAGATTTATCACAAGACTAAATAAAAAAACACACTGAACATAATACCTGCCTTTGTCCTGGATCCTGTACTGGCTTTGCCAAATATTTTTGTGCTACAGCATCTTTTGCAGTCCTACAAGTTCTCAACAAGAAGTTATCCTTCAAAAAAGAAACCAGTTGATTCCAGCCATATGACAGGAAAGATCTAAGTTTGATCTGGTGACTAACAAGAAGCAATTGGAAGTTGTGAACACATTGCAGCAGTGACCCACACATCACCTTGTATTACTTCTGACATACAAGACAGCAAATTCTAACCTACAACTTCTGTAACAGTTTCATTTGTCCCCAGATAGACTGACAGTCACTCAACCATTAGGATCCCAGCAATGTATACATTGAAATACAAATAATAATAAATGGGAAATAAGAAACCACGATTTCATACAAGCATAAACCAGAATTGTTATTTCTGTAGCCCATTCCTACATGTTGACTCTATGATAAATTACTTTTTCCTCTCCTCATCTTAGTGAACCTAAAATATCTGTTCTCAAATTCAGTTCCTCTCAATCTGGGAGTGAACCCAACCAGATCCTCCTTATTGTGGCCTCTTACTACTGAAGGGGGGCTGCTTATAAGAAAGATGGAGAGCACCTTTTTATCAGGGCCTACAGTAAAAAGACAAGGGGCAACAGTTCTAAACTGGAAAAGGATAAGTTGAGTTTGGACATAAGGAAGAAGTTCTTTACAATGAGGGTAGTAACATATTGGAACAGCTTGCCCAGAAGCTGTGGATGCTCCATCATTGGAAGTGTTCAAGGCCAGGCTGGATTGGGCTTTAAACAAGGTGGTCTAGAAGAATATGCCCCTTGCCATGGCAGGGGGGTTGGAACTAGACAATCTTTAAAGATCCCTTCCAACCCAAACCATTCTATGACTTTAACAGTGATTTCTAGCTATAAGCGACATGAATTGGTACCTCCCCACATCCCAAGGTAGCAAGGAAGGTTTATCCATATTCTTAGACTTACTATTATAGTCCTCTAGAATTTCACTTTTCCAATATATCTTAGAGTCAGAATTGAGTGATCCTTAAACCTTTACTCACTCTTAAAATAGGAATGTGACATTTTAGATGAAATGCTACTTTATTTGCAAATATCATTAGAGGTATATGTTAACATGTATGTTAACACATGCTTATTTGCATCTTTAAACAGAAGTCTCAATTCACATTTCAGTAGTGTTATTTATATTGCACTGATTCAGGATGGGAATTCAAAGACATTAAAGAAACACTGATTCCAGAAGAGGTACATCTTCTAGCTATTCTCTATAACATCACAATAAACATCATGGATCCTTTAAGCTTGCTAGCACAATAAACTAAGTAGTAACTGCTATGATCCTCCATTTTATATAATAATCTCAAAAAACCCCAAACATTTAACAATGTCAGTTTACACTAAAAAGGAATGAAAACCAGACTTTCACCAGGGAAAGATTCTCATGTCTCTTCTCCTGTTGCACAGAAGAGGCAGGCACTACCTAAAGAGATTAAATGCTCAGTATAAACATCACAAAACAGAAGCATTGTGATTACATCTGAAAGTTGTCTTTAACAGTATTAGGACAAAGGAAAAGAAAAATAGAGGCAAAAGGGCAGAAGGAAGCAGCTATATGCCCAAGATCAATGAAGAGGAAAAAAGCATATTCCTAATGGTAAAGCTCAAAACTCACACAACCCTTCTACAGCAAATTCCATCCACTCACCCCCAAAATCTTACTCTGCTCTAGAGAAAAAATTAGTCAAGAAAATCTGAAACAAGCCAGAAAGAGTATTACCAAACCACAACCATTAGGAAATTACTCACCATATACAGGAATACCTGTGCATAAGCTAGAATTTTAGGCAAGCACAAACGTATTTTTTACAAAGTAAAAAATTTTGGCATGAAGCTAAACACATATGTAACAAGTCTTCTTAAAAGAAGGCACTTGATAAAATGCTTTATCTCCAGTTTCAATATGTCTGATAAGAGGTAAAGAGGCATTAATTAGTACTTTGGTTCTTTCAAGTGAAACCATTCAGGAATAAGAAAGGCTTAAAAACCTGGGAACTTAAACACACTCAGTTATTGCATCCTCAACAGTATGTTTCATGTATCAAGGCTGATAAATATTTTACAGATTATAAAGAGAGGTTAGGATCAAGGTTTTAGACTTCATTTTACACATCATCTCAAGCTTTGCTTCAACCTCTCATGGATATCTCAGGGATGCTTGCTATTAAAACTTTTATTTAACACCAAGACAAAGCTTTTAACAAAGCCTTCCTTCAAGCAAAGTATTACTCACTGAAATCAATTTGTGCTAAAAAAGAATCAGAGTATTACAACTGAGTTTAAGATCTTTAACTCAATAGCTGTAGTATCCCAGTAGCAATGGCATTAAATTTCACTTCAGGAATCTTTTATGCTAATAGAGTGCTTCAAAAGTGTTGGAGTTTAAGACAAGCCTTAGAGTTAGGAAAAAAAAACCACCAACCACCTTCAAATTCTCTTAGAATATATATAAAAGAGGAGATAAACACAAATTTTAGCTGTCACCTCCAAATCAAATGCTAATAACATTTAAATTTACTCTTCGTTTAAATTTACACTTCAATATTTGTATGCCAACAGAAGGAGCTACAAAGGATTTTGTGATCTACCTAACAGCATATATGTCTTACATAAAATGCATATTTGAAAAAATAATTTAGCAACATCCAGAAGATGGAATTAGTGATGTTAGAAATTCAGTACTATGAAAAGTTAATTACGCATGCATTTGCTAGACACTAGTAGAAATCAGGTATGAAAAACTAGTGATAAGATCAGACCAAACAATAACTCCTGTATCACAAACACTAGCTTGAGGACACATGAAAACGGAAGAAAACATGAACAAGAACTGTGAATTACTGAGCATCTGCAGTAGAGCTATTACAGGCATCTATGGGAAAGTTAACACTAGATATTTAAGAACTGAAGTAAAAGTCAGCAAAAAACCTCATCTCCAACATCAAATGAGATCTCTAATTTGCAAGCACTTCTGTATGGCTGATTGCAGTGCTAAAGAAGGGAACCTTGGTATATAATTATCACTACTCTGAACAACATTAAAATCAAGAAGAGAAGTGGAATAGATATTACATAATATTACTGAAAAATATAGCAACAAAAATTTGTTTATTTCAAGAAAATAATTATATTAATGATACAACCAACAGTAAGTTTAAATTCTCTAAATTAAAATTCATTCTGCTTTGCATTTGCATTCATTATTACAGGATACATGTAATTAAATGGACTAATTCCTCTGTTTAACATGCTTGATCTGAGTTAAAACACTTCAGAATATTAGTTTGAAGTTATTTTAAAAGTTGAAATGTAAGTTTCAAGCTTGCATTAATAAGCACCATAGCCACAACTGAAGGAAAATAGTTCACTGTAGACAACTGTTACACTTAGCTGCTGCAGCCAGTCTCTCAGTACTGTAACAGAAACAGTTATGCACTTTAGTTTGTTTTCACACTTGGGGACTCAAAGGAGTTGAAGCTGTCATCTCAGTACTGCAAGGAAGACAGGGGATGCTAGATTAAAAACAAAACATCTCCTGTGTCAAAGAAATAAAGCAAGAGCAGTAGACTTGCCTAGTCCTGAATCAAACAAAAATCACTTAATGAAATAAGCACAACACAGATGAGACTGAATACAAGTTCTACCTCCAAAACACTTCCATAATGTTATTTTATTAGGACCATAAAAGCTCTGTAATACAGTAGGAGAAATATATATATTCCATAACTTAGAGAAATGGATCTGAAATTCATGTCAATCAAGGCAAGAGGTACCAGTTTTTCAAAGCCGTGTGCTCCACAGGGCCAATACACCAACCCTACACACACCTAAGGAGCAACCAAAAGTTACAAGTCAAGCAGCAGAAGTCCTACTGTGCTGTTCACAGTAAGACTGAACATCTTTATGACATACATTGTTTCTTAACTGAGGTACTATTCAAGCTTCATTAGGCAAATTTCAGCACCACTGTTAATTCAGTCTAAGCAAATTAGACTACCTTCAACAAATCAAGATGTTTCCCTCATCTTTTGCTCTTACTTTGGGGGTCCTTCATATCTCACTATTGTAGTCTGGGGGGGTGTGTTTGTGTGTGGTTGAAGGGAGAAGCTTGAAATACACATTCAAATTAAATTCCACTGCAGCCGACAGATTTACCTGGACAAAGAAGGAACTGGTACTCCTCTTGCTCGAATAGATGGTTTTCCACGAACTACTGGAACTTCTGCATTTTCTGAACCACCATTTAAATATGTTAATTCTTGAAGCTGTGCCTGTCTGATTTCATCATTATAGTCCTAAAACAGGGAGCAGAGTGAGAATAAAACAAACTGTCAACCACCACACCAAGTTATTATCAAGCACTGCTCCTGAAAGTTTCCTCTTATAAAGTTGAAGGTCCCACTGAGAAAGTGTAATATACAGAATATTGTAGGCATATTAATCAAAAATTCCTAGAAGAATTCTACATATTAGCTGCAATTTTTGCTCTGGCATGTTTTTCTTTACCACTGCATATTACCTCCATGTCATATTACCATACCAATACCAATTAAAATGTCAACGTTAAAACGCTGTAGATGGGGTGGAGGGAACAAAAAAAATCAACGTCCCATAATCTGAGCTGAGATCTGGTTTGTAGCTCTGGCTGGAGAATGAGTGTGTTAAAAGCAGGAAAAATTGCATTGCCTAGTGTTGCAATACAGAACACAACGTAGAGAACAGCCCCTGACAACTGAGGAACAGATCAGATATCTACATTTTTAAAATCAGGAGTTAAAGAATAAACAATGAAATTCACTCAACACAAACATGCACTATTCTCTAATAGTAAGAGCTCCAAAAATTGCAATTCTAGAACACACAAGGATAAACAATTTGAAGACACATGGCTTGTTTCTTCTGCACAAATCCTCTCAAGGTCTATCAGAAATAAAGCTGAAGTTATTTACATGGAATTAATATGGTACTTCTCAAATACATAAGGGTCTTTTCAGGGACTTGAGCCAAGCTCTGAAACTAGCACATCACACAGGAATAAAATAGCTGCAGCAGCAATGAACTCTTGAGCTGTACTTATTTTTCTGTCAGATTCCCTCCACTTAAAGTGGGCCAAAGAATGCATCTCTAAAGGTGAATCAGCAATAGAAATGCTTTACTCCATGGGTATACATATACACTAAGTATCAAATTATTAATAGGTCCTCTAGTAAGAATGAAGTGATACTTGTGATATAACAGCTCTTATCTTCTGCAAATCCTCACATTTCAAAGGCAGCAGGTTTGTACAAATACCATCTATTTTTGCATTTCATTTACAAAACAAAGGATCTGCAACTCTTATTAGAAATCTGATTTTATTACATTATACACTAGGCAGGTACCAAAAGACTGCCAGGCAGCCTTGCATCAGACAACTCCCTGAAACATAACTCAGCATTGAAAGGACATTAAAACATATATGAACTGAAATATCTCAATTATCCTTGAAACATTCTGCTTCTCATAGCTTCCACAAACAGCATTTTCCTTCTCATGCTATTGCTGAAGATAGTTATTAGTGTTAGAAGTGGCACAAAGGCATTTTGTCCAAACTGTCTTACATAGGCTCTGAAATTTAACTCAATTGTCCATCTGAGATCATCCTCTATCTAGCAACAGAAACCAACCAGCAAACACGAAGAAAAGAGTCTGGAAGACTGAACCAATTGTTTCAAACTGCATAATTGAAGCTTTTAAGAAACAGATTCCATTATAGCAAACTGGAACCAACAGACAGCCAAACCATCACAGGGAGTATAATAGATACAGGCAATTGAACACTATTCTGACCAACTACTGTACAGAAACCCACTTTATGTTTGTACTTTGTTGCTCGACCAGAACTGATTACAAATTCAAAGTTCTACGCAATGTATGAAACAAACAACTTCAACCTTGAAACAAAATGTTAAGGAATTGTTCCAACTGTACCACAAACACAATACTTAGGTCTCAAAGTTCTGACAGAGCATATATCAGAGATGCCCTTCAAAACTTTTCAACAAGATGTCTTCCTCAGAATTGGGCCCCTATAAAAATACCTTTGATCATAATTTGACATTAATTTTGTTTATTTTCTTAAGAGACATGCTTAGGTTACCACTGTACATGTTGGGTCCTTTTCCTTCCTAACGCTTTCTCATTTTCCCATAGCATACCACTAGACATACCAGAAGCGTTAAGTCATAGACAAGGACTCCACAGCACAGAACAGAAAATATGGTCCTTATCACACATGCCAGAGGCAGCAGGAAAATATAGAGTGAAGAGGCAGTACAAGGAAGTAAAGACACAAGTAGCTATGATAAGCAACAGTGTTAATCCACTAGACTCTGAAATGGACTCTTCAATTAAAACAGAGGGTAAATCTATGAATACCCACTGCTGGAAAGCAGAACACTTAAGCCAAATTGAAGAGACAATCTCTTCCCCGCCTCGAACACAAGACAGACATGGAAACCCTTTAGACTGCACCTCTCCCCTGTACAGTTTAGGCAGAGGCAACACTCAAATTTCAGTCAAATGGTGCTGATGAATTTCAAGTGAACAGTCATAGTCTCATTTTATGAATTTTGGCCATCCTGCCTGCCTAGACTGCTCTGAAAAATGGAGGATGTTTTCCTCTGTAGGAATGACTATATCACCAAGATACCTGCAGGACATTTTCTCCCTACACAGAATTACTTACATGACCCAACTAGGTAACATTCTTAATTTTATCTGCAATTTTCACCCAGCCCTGATCATCATATTGGCAGCAGCTCTTGTTGCATTTGACAGCAGTTAACCAACTTGTAGTTCTAGAGAATACAAAGGTGCTCCTTATTGCTTTCTGCAGTGGCTGCTGCAAGGGGCAGGAGCGGGGGGAGAAGAGATTAAGGCATTTAGAACCATTCTGATAAGATTACATTTGAAAAGCCAAAGGGAAATTAAGACAGTGTTGGCTTGATCCTGTAGTTCAGAAAAGATTATGTAGCATCAGTTCAGCTCAGTACAATAAAGATGCAATGATTAAAAACTGAGATGGAAAGTGTAAAACCAATGAATGGAACTGCTTATTATCAGTCTGTAATTCTACTGGCTTAACAGCAGTAGAGTAATGGCTAGGTTCTGATAAGCTTACTTCATTTATTATGACATCAGGTGAATCAAGCTCAATGAAGAAAAATCAGGTCTCTGATGAAAGGGGCAGGTGGATCAGATATACCCTTACTTCCAGTGCACACAAAGGACTTCTCAAATTGACCAATTTTCATTTAAAAACAAAGCAGCTGTTTGCTTACTAGAATAGCCAAGAAATTAATTCTCCCTTATTTCTTCACACAATCAAATAATGAATCATGTAACCTTCAACATTACGGTAGCCCAGCATTCCTACAAATATCCTGTGGAGTACCCCCCACCTATGTGGAGTTAGGATGTTTTAACACTAGTATGTTTATTTACCTCTCCATATACATCAAGACAAAAGCCATTTGGAACGTGCAGACAAAGTTATGATGTTGTGCTTGCTTCTTTATAAGATGAGAACATAATGCTGAGGACATTTCTTTGGTTTTTAACTGTCTTAAGGTACATCTACTTTAGTGTGTTCTTTCACATCAGGATATATTACTAAACGAACCTCCTGATGATTGTTACTTACCATGCTTTGGTTCTTGTCATGTGGTAGTATTGGGGCATATGAACTAACTTTAATCCAGACAAAAACAAGCCAGAAGAAACATTCAAGGAGCACAAAATCAACTCCAGTCACTTGGGGACTTAGTTTCATGGATCTACACTAGGTTTAGTACAAACTAAAGTCCCCAAAATGCACACAGTAGCACTGTCAGGTCACAGGTATCACCTGCTTCACCCTAGAGTACAGCTGGCTGTTCATCCCCCAACAGGCTTCCCCAACTGGTCCTGAATACAGCTACATTGACTGTACTCATTTATGTGCTGCTGTCATTCAGATACACACCTTAAAGTTTCCTTAGCCAGGTCTCCCACATCTCCAAGATCTGACATAAATCAAGACTAACACTCGGGTAACGTTTTCAGCAGTAAAAATAAACAGAAGTCAATGCACCTTGAGGATGCTTTGCTTTCTATGTTAATTCAATAACCGATAAAAATAGAATATTCACTGAAGAGCCACTACAGTCAGGAACTTCACATGCAGTAACACCACCTCAAGTGTCCCAGATTCCTAAGAGAGCTTGGATTATTCCAAGCAGTTTAATACCACAAAGCAAACAAGGCTGGTCCTTAACATGAGAAGCAAATAAAGGAATCTTCTGCAGAAAGATTCTGGAAATCCTGCAACACCATTGTCTATACATATCCCAAACCTGCAGTACAAACTGAGGCTGGAAATCATCTTTTTATGTATCCCTACATCATGGGTTGGAGTCTTCCCCAGAAGACAACTATAACCAATGTCTAACTAGATTTGTGAAAAAAATAAACATAGAAGCTAAAATTGTATTCTCAGCACTGAACACTAAACTAGGATCACAGGTAGGAACAATGACACAACTCCAAATTCATTTACTCTTCTCTTGAAACAGAGCCCTATACTGATGCTTCAGGTGTACCAAGAACACAGAAAAGCCCTACCTTAAGCAAAGAAAGTTATTTTTCCATATTTTACAGATCTTTACAATTATTTGTAAGCTTAAAACACTCTGCACACGAGTTAATCAAGAATGAGTTGTGGTTCTCCTATAGCTTGTATCACGAGATGAGAGTATGTGGACAGTTAAGCACTCATCCAATAAATGGCAACATCAAAATGAAAAGTATTTGTAAGCATCACCACTTTTCACAGCTTAAGGAAACAAAGCAACATGACCTGACCAATACTGTACAGCAAGTTAGTTTTAGAGACAAGATTTCTCACTCAAGACTACTTGAATTCTTATGAAAATATTAAAATACTAACAGGGATGAGGAACTTCTTGATTTCTTCCAGCGCATGTCCCATTCTGGCATATGCTTCTGCTGGTGGAGCAAATACTTCAATTAAAACATGTAGGTCATCATTTAGGTGGAAGTACTTTGCCTCTCCACTTTTTCTCAACTCTTCCTCCTAGAAGATAAGAAAAATATTGGGGTTTTTTTCCACCTTCTTATTTTAAACATATTATAGTGCAAGTATTACAGTGGCTTCAGAGGCATTTGCACATACTGTTTACTCGTGTTCAGATGTTAACAGCTATGAAAGTATAAAATTACATACTTTTCTAATACACTTCACTCATGTTGCTAAAATAGCAGAATAGTATGAGTTTTCTTATCAACAGTAAGTGACTTGGTAACACACAAAATAGGACCCATTAGCTTCTGCTCACACACAGAAACTGTAGCTCAAGCAAGAATGTTCCCAGAAGTTTTCCCCAAGTGCACCAATTTCATGTAGAAGATATTGAGAAGTGAACTTGAAGCCTCTTTTGAGAAAAGTCAAGTCTTTAGAAACAGGTTTGATCTAATCTTCCACAAAAGCAAGACTCTTAACAGTATTTCAATCTCAGTACTATTGCACTGCTCACATATTTCACTGAGATTTCCACCCCATGAGTACATCCTTCACAGAACTGTGCTACTTGGACATGGAACTAACAATGAGACAAAGGAAGAGGACATGAGCAAAAATAAGTTCACTATCTCTTTCAGAAGAGTTTTTTATTCTGCTTCACCCAACCCACCTCAATATGTCTGAGAAGCTATGATTTCAATGTAGTGGAGCACAGCCCAGCTCTCAAATACTTGCATTTGCATGTAAAATGTTCACAGACCTAACGGACATCACTTGTTAGTCTCAGGTAGGTTGCCCCCATCCCATGTGTATCTGACAGGTACATTCCAAGACACTAAGCCACCATTAAAACTAATTTCACTGTATTACCAGATAACATTATATCAAATTCTTAGCAGAACTATTATCTAAAAAATAAAGCCCTAAGAATCCTCCCCTGCTGCTTACTGTGTTTAGCAAGCACCAGGTAAGTATTTCGTGCTTTAGATTACTAAAATCAGAGCTTCAGTGATGGCTGAAATTCCCACCACACACACCCCTTAATTATGGGTTCAGGTTTAAGTGACAATCTGTTTCTGCTTCTCATAAATAACACTCTTACCATACTTCGAGTTTGACTATGGGGATGTTTGAAAAAAACCCAACAAACAGAAAGATTAGTGAGAGGCCAGAGTCAGCAGGATTAGACTTTGTCAGCAAATTTGTATCTTGTCAATATAAATAACAGTTCTTAGAAACAGGAAGTAAACTAATATAAACATTACAGCTCAAACATTTAGTTTTAATAGGAACTGTTTCTCACTTAAACACTTTAAGCACAGCTATTTCAAGACATACAAACCATCATCTAGCACTATAAGCTAGATATCTACATCTACATCAGTGGAGTTCTCCATATACTTTGGGTTTTTTACTATATACACACTATCTAGCATTACCTGTCCCTTTTTTTAAAAGGAAAAAAAATATCACAGTGCAACTAGATGGCAGAGAATTGAGAATTAAGAAAATTCATTCCTGTAGCTACCGACTTGCCTGGTAACAGCAACAGAAAAGTCATGATTTCACATTCAGTGCTTGGTGAAAAACAATTTCAACCAGCAATTTTAACAAAACATGTAAGAAATTTCAGTGCAAGTTGTTTTAAAAATCAGTCCCATAAGTAAGCTTTTAAAGTAACTTTATTCTTTTTTCTTGCTTCACTTGCAAAGTTCACCGATTGAAGTATTTTTTTTCTTCAATTCTGTAACATGACTTGGCAACACACTACTCTGCATAGCTCTTAACAGCACACCAATGAGAACGAGCTCACTCACTGACCTATATCTCCCAACCTCGGGCACATGTTAAACATTTTGGGGTTTTTATTCCCCATGACCCCCACCACAGGAGCCACAGCTTGTTCCCATTCCAGCACCCCTCACTGACACTATTTTTAGCTCCCACAAAATGCTCTGCCTTACATTACTTGACAGTACATACATTGGCTAGGCTTGCCCACTGTCTGTGGACACTGCTTGGCCAGTGAAAATAGAACATTTTTTTCTTCTACTGTAATGAAGGATTTGAGAGCTGCTGAAAGACTGAAAGTGAACCAGATGTGGGACAAGGGAGCTGAAAGATAGCACATCATCACTTCACTTTTTTAAAAAAACCCACCTGTCTCAAATCTCCATCTTCTCACACAAAATATATCACATCATATGGTTTGGACAATCTGATTTAACTTCATGTTTTCAGTACAGACACATTCCTGTAATACTGCACTCAAGGTAAGCTTTCTCATAAGGCTCCCAATTTGCTTTGTACCTCATGTTCTTGTATTCCATCCTTTCATGGTCCAGAACAAAGCAGAGGACTAGCACAGCTGACGATGCACAGCAGCACAAGGCATCTGGCTAGATGCCTGCTGAGGACAGTTAATATACTTTGCCTGTATTCTATTGTACCTATAGAGCCTTTTGCTTTTCATCCTACTTGTCAAGCTATCAAGAACCAGATACCAGCCCTAGAAGCCTACTGCTTTAAATCAGAAGTTCATAGCAGTATTTATCAAAACATGCTCATAGTACTGTCCATTTTCATCTTCATGATATCACCTTTGATTTAGGTTCTAAATTTCTTCAGGTACTATTTTTAATGCTACCTTAAATCTGGGTTCTATCAGACTTTATAAACCATTCAGAATACTCAAGTTTTTGAAAGGCCTGTAGCAGTCTGGAACTATTTAACATGTGAATAACAGATTGGGGTGGAAGGCTTTGAGTTATCTCTTCATATTCACAACATAAAAGCAATATTGTCATGGAATAACAAAATTCTGAAATGGGTCAGGTCCTTGTACTTTTTCACCCTCCTGTAGACACATGAAAGCCTGAGTAGTCTAGCAGAAGGTATCTCAGCACCAACTAGTGAAAAGTCAGTGATGAAGTGACAGCTCAGCTCAAACATGTTAATTGAAGAGGATAATTACTGAATTTATGTATTGTGTATCACAAATAGATACATGAAATGGTTCTCCAGATGTTGACAAGAGATGGAAATAGAAGCCTAGACTGATCCTAGAACTCAGCTTAAGGAGTAAGGAACAAAGACAGAAAAAAAGACACTTCTGAATGTGCTTTTAAAGCCAGATCTCTTATTAGGAAGCAAATCGGAGATTCTAAAAAGGCAATTACAAGTCAGAGCTAGAGAAATACTATTGCCCAAAATGGATTAAAAGTCAGACTGGTTTATCTATATCTATTATTCTGGTTTATCTAAATCTTTCC